TTCATGCAACATACGGCATTTCCGCTGCACACCAATTCTAAATTCTCACTACATCTAATTGCGCTTATGTATATTCAGATTTAGCATTATGTTTGCCAATCTACGATAGCCACGCCCTTACGTTCCATGTTAGGACAATGATGTCATAAATGGCCGTGCAAAACAAATTTGATTGGATTGATTGGATGCTGATCACAGTCAGACTCGTGCTCGATTGAAGGCAACTCCGGAGGGAAATCTGATTTTGCCAGGCGAGCTGGTGCAGTGATCCAGCGCGCAATCCAGCACACAACAAGATTTTGTTCAAGCCGTGGCCTAATTTGGCATTCGTTTGATCATGTTTAATCGAAGTTGTAGTGTGAATACTTGTAATGGATTTTGCCAGATCTATAAGTTGTTCGCAAATCTCAAATTACAAAATGCCGTTATCCATTCAAAAAATACTGATGGAAAATTGCCCCTTTGGCCACATGGGTGCCGTCCTGGGGAAAAAAAGCTGAAGGTTCTTCGAAACATCAAAAGCCACAGTTTGGTAGTTGAAGCTGTTTCATGAAAAACAACTAAAACACAATTCGCAGGAAATGTAATTTCATTTTGTATCCTGTAATAGAGGAAACTCCCATTTGAGCATGCTGGTTTTTTCTGTTTTCACATATCCTACGATCATTTTGTTGAGCCAAGCGTTGTCCAAACACAACCGCTTTTGGTCTGTAAAATACAGTCGGGAACTGTCACACCTCCAACGGTAACTTTCTAGGGAATTTTAACTCCTGAACAAACTTTGGGGAAACAGTTTGGAAAAAAATTATGTTCACATCGAAGTCGCTCATGGATGGGGATGGAGAGGAGATTTTACACACGGAAGTACTATATACAGCACGTATGTAGCGAACTCTTCGATGTCTCTATGTGCATTGTACATGTATGTACACGTGTGAACATGTCCGAACCGAAGTTTGGCAAAAGTTTCTGAACCGTGTCCGAACCCGAACCGAACCTTGGCACCTACTTGCAGCACTAACTGAAAGTGTGTCAAAGCATGATGTCAATTTGACATCAGACAGACTTGAAAACTTGACTTGTGACTTGATGTAACCAAATGACTTGTAGCTTGACATCACTTATGGAAAAGCTGGTGTGCGACTAGGGAAAAATGATTTGTGACTTGACTTCTGGAAAAATGACTTGGTTACAACACTGTCATATGAACATCCATAGTAGGATGCACTTACTTCATACTGAGGTGGTCTCTTCGCAGCAGTCTTACGGAGCGGGACAGGTAAAAGTGACAAACAATCAGCAGCTGTAGCATCTTCATGTATTCTGCAGCTAACTCTAGCTGAGGGTAGTGTATGTACACCCAATGGACAATACTGTAATGGTAAGATACAAATGCACACAAAAAACTTGGTCAACTTTGTCGATAGTAATTATTAGTTTTGTGTCCACTAGGCAATTCCACAAAACCTAACGTAATGGCATAACTTCACTGACATCAAATTTTACTAAGTAGGTTTGGCAACAAACATTTAGCAAAACTTACGCACTGCATAACTCGGCACCTTAAAGAGGTACAGAAAAGGCACAACATGAATGCATGAAGATACATGTAAACTGGCATTGTTGTAGCTCAAATGCATTAAAATGAAGAGTTTTGATGACATGTAGAAAATGCACAATAGTATACATTAATCTGTAAGATCTCGACTAACCTAAAATCTTACTCTTAGCTGGTCAAAACATGTGTGAGATTTGTTCCGAAATGAAGGAGTATGAGACATCCAAGGAGGAGAGGAACATAACTTGTATGGCATACATGTGAGAGTACACCCGTGTTCACATGCAGTGGCAACAGACTATTCACACACCATGGAGAATAACACATCAGCATAGGAGTACCCAGACTTGAATCTTGGGCTAAATCGCGGGCTACCTTGTAATGTGTGTACACATGAAACTTCTGAAAAAAAGACAGCAACCCACATGCATACTCGTTTGCCGAGTCTACAATTTTCAATGTGTCAAAGAAAAAGAGATGAACAAGTATCGGATTCTTCTTGTGAAAGTGAGTGGATTTAATTCCCATGTAGGGCTGTGACGAATATCCAATTATCCAGATAATCGATCGAACATCAAACATTCGAGTAGTATTTTCCAAGTACGAACATTCAAATTCAACATTCATGAAAACGAAGGGAGAATTTTCTTTTGTTTGAAATGAGAAAAACTGTACTGTGGAAGCTTGTTACAAGCAAATTCAAATGAAAAGCGACAGAAATCTTACAATGATTCAAAAAGTAAATTATTCATTAAAAATTTTTAAAGGACAAGAAATACTGTTCGTCTCTAAATCTTGCTTAATCATGGCTGGAGATACTCCTAGATGTGAGAAGCTATTATAGTGATCATAGTGTACAACTGTGTGCATTATTGCAACTGATTTTGTACATGGATTGTTCATCAACAATCCGGTGGTTGGTACAACCCAAAATTCGGATATTCGATCGAATAGAAGGTTGAATTTTGAAATAGTGACTTATTCGAATTGACTCAGCCCTACTGCTGTGGCAGGCCCAAAGCTGGTGGTGGTCCATCAGCACAGCATCGTACACCGTCAACTGCAACACAACACAAGCAGTCGGCCAGGCTTATTTGTCACTTTTCTAAATTCGAGGTGCTTTTGCAAACACTAGATACCTGTCGCAGCAGTCCTCCAAAAATCCTTGGCATATTATCTGCAACAACTGGGAAGGTTTAAAATCTACCATTGTCTGGGAATGATAGATTCAATGCGATATCACACGAAAACCTCGAGACTAAGTCTCAGAGTAAACGTCTACACGATTCCTGTCCGAACTGCATGAGACCAGGGTAATGGGGCATGTTTCATTTTATGACAAAAACAAATCAAATCATGCACTTAAACTGAATGTATGGACCAATCAATGTAGAGGGCAACAAGAACGAGAGAACATTGCATTTTGAGCATGCCTCTACAACAAGATTGTGTGAAGATGCACCCTGCTTACAGCCGTATCTCCCCGGGATGTTTTGGGGTCACTGGCATATCATTAAAACATAATGAGTGTTTCTGAAATCAGTCAAAAAGGGACTCAAGGAAGCCAATTTTTTTGGACATTTTTTCAACCATAAATGGGAAAACTGTTCCATTTTTTTCATGTTATTTTTGGAAGAAGGTCTTTTCACCTCTTGTTTAAAGGTAATAATTAGAAAATGAAGATTTCTTTTCTCCACCTCTTTGAGCCAAAAATTATGGCAACGTATTCATAATTTATGATGGTGTAAGATGCACCAAATAAATCAGAATGGCTGATTTTCCAACTAATGTTTGTTGTAAGGGTTATGACTGCTCAATTTATCCAGGTTTATATGGGAAAAACAAAGCGTTGTTTATTCAGGGGGGGGTTGCAAAGAACTTATTGGACTTTGAGAAAACACTGAGAGTTGGTTTCTGGTCCTAGTGAAGAAAAGATGACAACATTTTCAAAACAGCAGGCCAAGCTATTTTAAGTAGTTCTTTCCTCGCCTTTCGCCTCTTCAGTCCCTACCTACTTCCGTGGGTTTTACCCAGAATATTTTTTTCTGGGGTTCTCCACCCACTTCTAAAAACTGTAACTATGTGTACTTCTATCTCCACTTCTGTCTGCAAACTACCTGCAAAGCACCTCAGGCACTTGTGAAAAATCCTTGATAAACAGAACAAGTTAATAAGAAATTGAGTCAATTCTTTTTGTTTGTTGGTATAGTTAAATTCCACCAGCAGGGTTCGACATTAATGCTGGTCTGCTAGCCAAACTTGAGTAAAAACAGCGGCGGTCTGGCGAAAGCCCTCATCTGCGTAGTCCGACGGTCTAGTAAAACAATATTCTGAAATAAGTGGCGAAATAGTTGATTGTGATGCATGCCCTCTTGCTGCTGCTGGTTTTTGAACCAAATCAAATAGAACCTCTTGCAACCAAGGATAGTTTGGTCCCTGGCATCAGCCCAGCAGAAGTAATGCTGAAGTCTATGAATGCAGCAGCAGTAAATCGTCTGAAACTTCTGTTTCGCAATGCTTTTGCGGTGCAATCGCACTTAACTGTGGGCCGTTTACTGTACTACCGCGTGTGGCCAGTACGTCTCGACAACGCTATGACTTGATGTTGGTTCTGTGTACAAGATCTAAATCAACACGTGCTTTCATGCATTGCATTGTAGAGGTACAAGTAAGTTATGAATATGCATCCCGCGCGTATGACGTGCTGAGTGTGTATGGTGTGTGTATATGCATTACGTTACTATGAGTATGCAATACTGATTTTTCTGATTGGTCATTGGTAGTTGTGACACCAGCGATGTGACGGTTGTGATTTCGTGTTTGGTTCAAGCGCTACGTGCCAATAGAAAACATAGCAAAATCAGACCGAAATAGCGCCACCTGTTGACTCTTGGAAAAAGGTTGGCCTCCGTTTTTTCACTGGAAATTCAAGATTGTGGCCAGAAAATCACCTTTTATTTTAATTTTATGGGGATTAGCCACGAAAATTTTTTTTATTTGCCTTCCCCCAATACCTCCTCAATAGTAGTAAAACTATGCGCTCAGCTCCAAATACCCCGAACTGGAAATTATCAGTCCCAAATTCTGGATTTCCAGAAATATTTTTATGATCCCTCCTGATTATGGCATGTCTTATTGAAAAATCCCCGTGGGATCACAAAATGAGCTTGTGGGCAGAAATACAACCATTGGTGGAATGCACCCTGCGGGTACTGGACACAGTCTAGAACGAACATGTTGTGTATGTACATGTACATTTTGCCGGGTGTACATGTACATACATTTGTATGTGCGTGTACATGTACATGTGCATAGTGCATAAAACGTACATGTACATGTCACATGGTAAACTGTTCATAATGATATGTTTTTTGTCTCTTGGATTGTGAATAAAACAAAAGCATTTTCAGCAGGTAACCACTTTGTGTGTTTAATTTTCTTGAGTGGAGTTATACTCATGTATATTCTGGAAATTCATAATTCCATGGCCATTTATGATTACTCATCAACAATTAAACAACAGTGAGCACCGAGTGCACACTGTTATCCATGATGTTGGAGCAGAAAACACTAGTGCCAAAAAGAATGGCAGAAAATGCTGGCAGACTAGTAAAAAGCCATCAATGCTGGTCCGGCTGGCAAGTGAGAAAAAAAAGTTAAGGGCGAACCCTGACCTGTGACATCATCCTACTGTCCAAGAGCTTAATTCCTTTGCATGAATGGAGTGGTGGACAAAGTTAATACACTTGACCATGCTCCCCTTGAAAGTGATGAATGGATCTTGGGCTGCAGGATGTTGACTATGAGGTTGAAAAGTGACCTCTTCACAGCAACTATTGAATGGTACAAAGTCTGACTTTGTCATTAGTTATATTTCTCTTCTACTTACACAATGAGACATTCTACCGTGGCACAGTAAAAGACCAAGAGTTGATGGTAGTACTGCTGAGGGGCCTGATGTAGACGAACAATCTGAGGAATAACCAAAGTCAAATTCCCTTAGTGTACTGATAATTCAGTCATGTCTTTATTTGTTGTCATGTTTTCCTTTGTGAAACACATTACAAGTTTGTTACTGCTGGTTTGAAACATTTATGACTTCAAGTTAAATTAGCTTAGTCATCAAAGTATTTCTTCTGTGAATTTAGTTAACCACTTGCCGCCGGGGCCTCCAGTTTCGGGCACTGTGGGTTTATACACGTAGCCAGGGTCTCCGAAATCGGACAAAGGGAACTGGGCCTTGTAATAAAAGACCATACTCGGAACAAAAGACCAGGCTGCTGGGCATTACCGACATTTTGCACTCTCAATAGTGGAGATAATCCAGCCTGATTTTGAAACAGTATACCACGGTTTGGGGCATTTAGTGCGAGCGGATTACCACCGGGGACAAAAAGCGCTCCACCACCGCAGCGACAAGCCACATAAGCACCGCTGCACGTTAATCTGGCCCCTATTGAAAAGAGGTCAGCAGTGCACAGTGCCAGGTTCGTGAACAAAAGAAAGTTACATAACACCACACAATCTGGGCTCTTTTTACAAGGCTGCAGGCCTGGCTGAAATACTCGGGCATCAACAGATTTTGTCTGTCAGACTAGAGTGGCCACCAGACAGTACCGGTAATTCATGTGGGTGTAAACGTCCATTAATTGAAATGATGAATTTTTGAAGAATTTTGAAAACTAAAAAATCTTGACTATTAAAAGTCCTGATTATGTGTACTGCATTTTTCAAACCACCCAGTAGCAAGTGGTTAACAAGACCTTTGACAATAATATAATTTTTCTCACCAGCAATTTAAAATATCCAGTATCTCCGAAATTTTGGTCTTTTGTCCCCACAATACACATGCAGAGTGCATGTGTATTTGCCCAAGCATGTCAAGGCACAAAACCAGCTTACGAGTAATGGAAAGTGGCAGCCACAGGGGACATTTGAAAAGAGAGGAAGCACAAACAAAAAGTGTAATATATGGACATGAAAGGGCACAGACAACAAAATGAAAGTTGCTCTACAAAACATGACCTTGACATTCTCAGAGGAACTTCAGGAATTCCTAAAAGGACCCACAGCATGAATTTCAAATGAAAAAAAAATTTTACAGACTGAATATGTCAAATACTCTGAAAATTTTGAATGAAAAAGAAGGGCACTTTTAATGACTTCTTCAATGTTGCTGTTATTTTCTTTTCTTCTTGCCAATGATAGGGTCCATATGAATTTTTTTTTTTAATTGTGGTTATTTAATACAGCCTTTTTCAGCCACCAATGCACCTGTTACCAGCTCCAGCCCATTCAAACACGTGGCAGCCTGCCTCATGCTTGTTTCTACACAAGGATTTGGGGTCAACACTTCCAAAAATTTATGCATTTTATCCAAAATATGACACCTTTTGGGTAATTCTCACTCGAAGTTAAATCGTGAAATGAAATTAAGTTCCCATAGGCTTTCCTTGAGCCATAACTTAATTTAGTGCCATTGTTCCTTCTTAAGATTTTCCATAACTTTTGAGTTATTACCATCAGTGCTGAGTAGGTTTCTTTTAAAAATAACAGTAAAAGTGCACAGAAAATTTGAGAAGGGACAAATTGTGTAGCTGTTTGTTCAGTGTAGTGGTGTTCTTTAATGTAGCTACATTGTACTGTAGTTTAGGGATACACTGAACGAATCTGCATGAATCTGTAGGAATCTAAATCTTTAAGGTAACTAATTTGCATTAATGCCTTAATTTGACTGATGACTTCATTTCATTTTATTTTACTGGGTAGCCCCATCGATTGTCAAAGACAATCACACAAACAGTACCCAGAAGTGAATGTATTTGCAAGCAGCAAAAGTACTATGATTTACTTTTGTACCCCAAAAACTACATGCTTGATGCTTGAGTTTCTGTTTAAGCTGTTTTATAAAGGTGAAGAAACATTTTATACGGTAAATGGCACTATGAGGCTTTGAAGTTATGCTGTAAGTACATGTAACTTTAAAGCCACACCTCTGATGCCAGAGTTATTACATACCCCCGTGGATGCCTGTTTTGGGGGGACTATGTACAACATGACCTGCAAATTTGCCATAACCTCCTCTGTGATATTATGCAACAGGATTGGCTTGGCCCCTATCTGCATGTACACTACAGTCATCGATCTTCAACATCTTGTTTTATGTTGTAATATGTACTTGTAGCTTTTTTGATTGCTCATTCTGTGTTACACTTCATTAGTATTTGAAAGTTTTGGAGATTCAATCATGACCGAATAGCAGTGATTAAACAATCTGCATGTTGGTGGACATGTCCCACTCAAAATAAACCCAAACAACATACTGCTGACTATGATCAGTCTCACCTTGTATATACACAGGATGGTTAGAATACCTGCAAATAGTGACAGAATTCCATTTCTGCAACAAATAAGACAAAAGCTCAGATTACGGTACATTACTGACATGGTGTCTACAGTATGTATCTTTAAATGTCCATTTAACCATGCTGGAATCAAACATACACAAAAAGATTGAAAAACAACTCTAAGATGAGCTAGAATGTTAAACCGTTTTGAACTCATGGTGATGGGGGAAATTGCACTCTTACATGTAGTCCAACTGGTTACATTTGTGTGAAAAATATCAATAAACTTGCAAGCAGGAGCTACCAGTAAGATACCTCATGTGTACATACTGCATGGTACATGCACGTGTGTACATGTACTATACTGCATGGTACATGCATGTGTGTACATGTACAATTTCAAGGCACACAGCCACTTCCTACTATGTGTCTGTCACCTCTACTTTCTTCACCTGCCCAGAATTTCCCCAATTCAAATAGTTTCCCTTTAAAGTTTCACTGTTGTTTATCCTCTCAGAGGAGAGTACATACATTTATGTAGCTCAATGATCATATACATGTACACTGTAGTGCCCCCAACTCAGAGACCGTATGGAACAGCCAGGATTTTCCCACTTACTATTTTCAGCATAGCTGTGGATACACTGAATGGTTTCTATTTCACTCCTTACACTTACATGTAAGGTCTGCATTGGTACATGTACATGAAAATGCCTGGGAATTTCCAGCCCGGATCAAAGTTCAAAAGTTGCATTTATGATGCCTCATTGTACCAGCTCCCGGAAACTCTTTCCAAGAAATGAATATATGTATTTGTTTAGTAAAACACGGGTGTACGTCAGTAGTGACCCTGACAAACAGAATACATGTTTATGTATGCATTTACAATAGAGATGTCAGTGGTGACAGAAAGTACGTACAGGATAGCCATGTAGAACATGTACATGTATGTACAGGTACAGTTGTGGTCAAAAGTTTGCAAATACTTCAACTGAAAGTGTTTCATTACTGAGTTTAATACTTTACATGTACAGTACATATATAGGCCTACATACATGCATGTACATCTGTTCATGGAAACAGTCCCTTGCATTATGTGTGTATCTGGTCAATCAGACCATTAACAAAATAATTCTTGTATCTACAGGTTTATATAAAAAGTGCAGGTGTTGGCTGATAAGCAATGGATTCTGGTTACCAAGAATTGGCTTAAGTCTTAAAAACGTGTAATGAAACACTTCCAGTGCATCTGGTTGTTACAAAAAATTTACTCTAACTGTAATTCAAGCATTTGCTGGCAGAATATTCTGGAATCCTTCCTATTTGCCAAATGTTATTTCTTTTCTCTGGATATGAACTAAAACAGGTGCTAAACACAAGATTTGGAATCTCATTCAAATTTTCTAAAAACTGCAGTTGATGTGAAATAAAATCAAATAGTAGAACTGCCTGGTCTCTCGTGGACGTTGAGATGTGGTAAAGAAAGTGTATACCAAATGTCATTGGAATTGGCTGACCTTTTTTTACACTGTTTTGAGTGAGACATTGGTTTGTCAAATATTTTTTCAAAATGTCCTCTCCTGATCATGGTGTTTCTTCCAGAATGGAAAGAAATGAAATGTAACTCATTACCTGTCAACACAACACTACATACTCTAGTAACCTAATATAAAAATATTGTACTGCAGTGATCACAAGTAAATAAGATATAAATACTCATGAATATGCCATGTAAATGTTGGTTAAAAATGTCCTTTCCTGAACATGGATCATGTGCTGATCACTCTTCTGTTGTTTTAATTTTATACATTTCTAAAGCGTCCTTCAGTATAGCTTTCACCATGTATGCATGGAGCCATGCTTTCAAATGGTTTTAATCCCTGCCTGAAGTCATACACACCGAATGTACAGTACATGTACGTACATGTATGAGCCAAAGGTGCACTGTTAAACAAGCAACCTTAACATAGCAGAGAAACTACAAATGAAATTTAACTGGGACCTCAGGAAGAGAGAGAAATGTCTGAAGAAGGGGCCTTGCAGGACAATTGTGCATTTAAATAAACTAAGGAAGAAAACCCAGTGATGTATGAGGAATACAAAGCAAAAGGAGAGGAAGAGAAAGGCAAAAAGCTATGGAAGTTTATGGCAGATGTACATGTGTAAACTTGCTGAGGTTGATATTCTTTAAAATGATAAGTGCAAATAATTTGTTCCTGCACAGTTTAAATACATTCATACGTATGCATTTCTTTGTAGGGGTTACCATAGGCCAGCATCAGTACTTGTGTCACTGTTTTAAAGTTGTGGTTTTACCATCACATGATTAGTAAATCATTCTACTGATGGCCACCGCAGCCATTACTTCAGTCTACTTCATTATTGCACATACATGTATAGGAGAACGTCAGTATCATTCTACACCTTGTTAAAGCACCATTTTTACAGCATAACTTGCATTAGTATTGAAGACATGACTATTGTGGTGGCTGTCAACCAATTTAAAGCAACCCCAAACATGGCTGGAATGTGGATATGGCAGTTTATGATATACACCTTCAGTTGACAAAGTTTATGAAATGCCAAATGCAAAGTGTCTTGAAATTAAAACAGGAAAAGGTTTAAGCCTTGAAATTAACATTTTCTGTTACCTTTATTCATACATGTACACTTACAATAGCCAAGCATGGTTTACTGATATAACAAGTTTCATTTTTGACCCCTCGTGAGATTTTTTTGCAACCTTTCCCATGAAACTACCCTTTATTGCCTTATTGTTGCAACCTACATGTACATTGTTCCTGCAATGTATCCATTACATGTACATGTATACTATACCAGTGCTTGACTATTACATGTAGCTTTACGTACACTGTATTTCCCTCAGTAAATTGTCGAATATAATACAATTTAAAAGCTTAACAAAAGATGACTTCATTTGCATGTACACGCACACTGTGATATATGACAAAAGTGTGTCCACAGGAGTCTGTCTACATTACACGTAGTCTGTGGCTACATCAGCTGAATGACAGCAAGCACATGTACAGTGTGCAGTGTACATCTATCAGAGCCTAACTAAGTTTCAGAATCAGGGTAAAAATTTCCTCATAATATGCATCATATTTCATAGTGTTACACTGGATGTGTAACACTAACAACTTGCTTCGTGTATCAAATCATGCATATGACCACTAACTCAGTTTGCCCTTGAAATTTTGAGCTGGTTTAAAGTCTACTAAAATCTAGAAATTCTAAAGACCCCAAAATTCCATCGCTATTGACTGCATGCCAACCAAAATACAAACATACCCTACAAACCTACTGGACCAACTCTCAAACACACAGGCCTATTATTCCCTTCTGATAGGTCACCAATGGTACGTGTGCATCATACTTTCAAGTACATGTATGGAGGGCCTTGCCACACAACCACAAAAATGACAGTAGTTCCTTTATCTTTTATTTTTCTTCTTTTCATCTATCTCTTTTCTTCCATGGGAAAGTAGTACTACATGTTAGACCAGGCAAGTAGACAATTGTTTCCCAAAGTGAACCCTGTGTTTCGATGTCTGCTATCCTTCAACTCACAAGCAAACTTCCTGATTGCTGGAATAATACTGAAATAGGATCTACCTTGACAAGAACAAATATCAAGGACTGTCAAAAGAGGAAGCTACACTGCAAGCCATAGAGCTTGTGATTCTGAAGGGAAAAACTTCCAAGATACTTGCTTGCAATTAAATTGCTTCTGCAACATATGTACATGTAATTAAACAGTCTTATACACATCTGCATTACACAGCACACAGCCTGCAAAATGTCCATCTTGGTTGATTTTACCCCATCGAATGATTACTTTTGCAGGCCAAACTCCGCCCAAACTGACAAGGTCAACTTTCCCAAGATGAACAGTCAAGAACATACATGTATGTAGGAAAGCACTCAAAGCAGCAATGGAAAGCGAGACGGTACATTCAGCATAAAAGTCGCATGCATGCACAATCCATGAATTTCTTCAAATGACCAGTCGATTATTTCTTCTGCAGTTTTCTTTATTTCTCAGAAAGTCAAAATAAACACTGTGGGCACCATGAAAGATTTGTCATAGGCCTACTCCCTAGGATAATATACATGTACCAACATTAGCAATGCTCCCGAAGGGTGTATGCTGCTCAGCAAGAGACAAGGACATGGAATGGCTAACAGTGAATGTGTGTTTATGTCACCTTGGTTAGCTTATACAATGCAGTCTCCATACACAGGTAACATCTCTACTCCAAGTTCAAATGTAGTACTAAATTAAACCTTGCTGTGAACATGAATTAAATGCAAAATATAACCATTTCCGTGATCGAAATATTTCACTTCTTGTGATCTTCCTTGATAACTGAATCCTAAATCCAACCAAAAGGACAGCATGGACATAAAGTATCCTGTAAGAATTTTTAAATGTATTTTGGTAAAAAGATTTGTACGATGTACATGTACAATGCACTTACAATTATAAAAGCATGGCACAATATTTATGTAGTGGTACATTGTATCTTCGGGATCTTACAAGTATGCACACTGTTGATGAGTCATTATTTCAATTGTTTCAATGTTTCAGCTTAAAGCTCCTTTTATTTATGTTGAAGTATTTCTCACTGGCGGCAAAAAAAAATGCATGGGGGCGGTGGGGAAACTCCTGGGAACTCCTTAAAGAGCCCCCGAAAAGGTCTTGAAACATGTACATATATTCAGGGCGACAGGAAAAATGCAAGTCGCCCCTGTAAATTGAAAGTTAACATGAAGAAATTTGACTGGCTTTTATTTGGATGGGCATAACATACCGATACCCTTGCAACAATGGGCAAGAACATCATTGCAGTCCATCGTTAGAAAACTTCAAAAGCTTGCTTCGTAGAGAATTCAATCAAAGCAGTGTCAGAGTTCAGGAATGAGGAACCTTCTGTCTATAGTGCTTTTTAATACGCCAGTCAATCGATATCCTGTGATAAAGCTTTTTTTATTAATTATTCTGTAGCCAGAATTTTTTTTAATAACCCTTGATGCACTGTGAAAGTGTAACCCTAGAAAGTGGAAAAAGAGCCCTGGAAAATGAAAAAGCGGCCCCTAAAGTTTGGACAAGGAGCCCTAGAAATGAAAACAGGATTTTTGCCCTGCTCACTGGTGAAGTACAATTCTTGACACCAATTCCAAATTCCATCCCACTGAATCCACACCTATATGTGTACATACATTGTATAACATCAAATCCCCACCCTGTCTTGCCACAACCTCTACCCCATCAAATCCCAACCCAAGGGTTGGGCTGTGCTCAGATGACAATGGATGCTTGTTTTATTCTAGAAGGAAAGACTGACATGTGCCTAGATGTATGTACCTGTACATGTGCAGGTAATACAAACAAAAACTTTAATATTTGGGGTTAAATTTCTTCATGTATGTAAACCCTTCCAGCTAATAATCTATTTATAAATACCTGGGACAGTTTTTCTATTCCTTTAATGCCCGCTGCATAAATCGTGTGCTGTCACATGGATGCGAGACAGTTTAATCGGGTCTGATTGGTCAGGAGTCTGTGTGTACGCAATGCATTATTAATGTGTCACACAAGCGTCAAGTTCATTGAAGGGGATTTTATTGGGCAACTTTCCAAAGGAATATACCATAAAACGGAAGAGGGGTGCTGGGGAAACTGAAAGTAAAATTTTTGAATAAAAGTGTTGGAAATCCATGACATTTTGACTTCATTTGACTCTCTGAATAAAAAGGTACAGTATATATGAATGGAATAAATATGTGCTTGGCCGGTTTTAACTGACATTTCAGACCTCACCCGTATCCATTCCTCTGAGCCGGTCTTAAACAAACGTCCAAGACCGGCCAAGCACATCTTTATTCCCTTAATAAGGTTCTGATACTGAAAAAACACTAGACTGAAACAAACAATAATGACACACATTATCAGCAATATACATGTAACCACAAGAAAAACTTTAACATTATAATGGGAAAAGCGGACTGCTAGAAGCCAAACAGATGGATGTACACACAGAAATCAGTCTTACATAAGCTGGCATTTGCTTTGCTGCTCACCAAAAAACAAGTCCAAAATACATATACTTGTACATGTTTACTGCACAAAATGTAAAGCAATACTGCCAGTACCTGGTGCAAGCAATGACATCAAAGTCACAAAAGCATCCCTGTCTGACAACATCAGGCTGGCTGGAATTGATGACTTCATCAGGAGACATGCAGTCAGCAGGCACAACTGTAGAGTACATCTTCAGCTGAGATGATGGGTCACATAGTAGTTATGGGAAGTGAACAAACACAATAAACATGTAGCTCACATCTTTGCTGACTGAACAACCACAGAGAAGGGACACAAATAGCAATGTGTTGGCCAGAGGAGCGACAAGATGGCTCACGTTGAACAGTCTAAAGTGAAACCTGAAATTTAGAAAGAAAAATGGATGAAATAGCAAAGTTAGGTACGCTATCAAATTGGCTCCTAGTGTCCAGCAAAAAGAAGTTATCCACAGTAACTTACTCTTGTACTGACCTGTACATGTTGGGATACTACATGTATATGTACCATATAAGCATTGTTGACTTCAACTGCTGACATGGACATGGAGAACATAACTTGAGACCTGATTTGAAGTAATTTTACTTTTTGTGCAAACAAACTATTGTTTTAATAAATACAAGAAAACAAATGTATGTATGACATTCTGTGTGCAAAGGCAGACCTGTTTGTTTTCACTGTGATAATGTTTAAACATACATGTTATCAACATCAGAACAAAAAGGTTCCCTTTCAGATATCTTGATGCACACTCCAATTCTAAAATATTTTGCAAAAACAACTGGAAGTCCTTCTCAGTCCCATTTGTTATTATCAAATCCAGATGAAACCATCCGTTGAATGGTATACAAATTTACGATTTGGGGTTTTCAACTTCCAGATTCAAAGACCAGAATCTAATACACATGTATTAACAGTTTTCCTCATGTTGAACAGTGACTTAGCACTTACATGTAGCTCTGTTACTACATACTTGTAAATCTGTGGTGCAACTTTACTGTTGCAGGTATGGTAATATGCAGCGCCATTTCGCTCATAGGTCACAAAGAAAATGTGTTTTGAGAAAGCATGCCAATCAAAAACTGTTGTGCTTCTTAGCCATCATGCATTTAGATCATTCCAATGTGCACTCATGTCTAGCAATGCATGTTCTATTAGCACCTGTAGACAAGATGGCGCGTCATTCGTTTTACTTGGAAACTATTATTATTTGCAGTGCTGAGATTTATCAGGATGTGTTCAGACATTGTACAAATGCAGTGGCCATTGTTATGGAAGTTAAGACAGGTTTCCCTCTACTTTTTTGTACCAGTCAGGTGCATTGGAAATAGGAAATAGACCAGTCTACAATGAATTGATCTCAGATTTCATTTCCCTTCAAAAAATCCTCTAAGGATTTGAATCTAACAAAATAAAAGCAAAAAACATGTATAGAAAGTAAACAAGCGATCCTGTTGAGACAATAAAGAAAGTGAAGGAAGAAAAAAATGGCCAAAAATCACATATTGAGTGGGCCCAATCCTGGCACGCTGGATTACAGAACAGCATGCGTACCCAAGGGGTCATCACAATAAATCTCTCTCACAGGATGCTGTCTTTGTAGGAAAATTGGGATATGTGCAAGCAGTGTGCAGAATGTTCTGAACACACATACGTGCTCAAACACTGCTCATCCAAATATCTTTGAAACAAGACCCAGATGAGGCAAGTCATGAAAAATCAACATCCAAAATGCTGATACATGTAGCAATCCATAGGAAGTGACGTCATTTGAGAGAGAGCCACAGTATGCCATAATGATAACTGGAAATTGAAACCTTAGGCCTACACATACATGTATGTATATACCAATGGCATATAATTTGATAATTGCGCAATGCCGTACCTTTACAATTTGGAAGTCACATTATGGTTACCTACAGTACCCCCAGAACTGTGGGGTTTGCCCTTCATCATGTTCCATAGCGGACAACAGATCCCACACCCAGTTCTGGGGGGGGTAATGCTAATGGTTGCCATAACTTTACCCACCTTGTTGTATGGAAATAAACGTTGAATCTTTTAGAATCATGTAGTTGAATGAATATTCTCATGTGATATAACTATCCAACATTTCATCAGTCAGTTCTCTCCATTATTCTGCCACTGCACTGTCTGTCTACTCAGTACTGTACAGGCACTAGCAACTCTACAGTCATGAGCTCTCATTTTGCCTACAATTTGTATGAGCGGCCAAAGTTTGCAGTTTCTAAATATCACCTTTTATGTGGCTTTCAATTTCACCTCCAATTGGTTCAAACTTAACAGTTTTCCCGGTAATTTTAAATAGGGTCGTATTTTAGTTTGGCACATGTGGTAGGCCTAAATGTATAATCATTCAGTGTTCTGAATTTTACCATAGAGCTACTAATCACTGTCAACACACCGTCAACATGTTCAAAATGTAGTATCCTATAAAGGGGCGCAGAACTGTCATATTTGGGCTAAACAAGAATTTTCAGTGATTAGGTGTTTCATTTCAATTTTTAAAAAATGAATTGTTTTTACACACCAAAAAATGTATCTCAAGCAGTGTAGCCGTTGACTACCACTTTGCCTTCTAACAGGACTTGGACTGTACCATTTATTTATGGGTGGGTAGGTAATCAATGGAAATACTAGTATCGCAGATACATGTACATGTATGTTAAAGAAATAAAGCTGTGGGCACATTTTAACATTCCCGACCCAATCCGACACATATTATTTTGATTGATCATATAATATCATTACCCCTTTAGTGTAATGGTATGGGCCGAGCTGCAACACGGCTGCCGACTTCATAGCTGTTCGGGGGAGGCAATTTTTGTGAACTAAAAATGACAATTTTCAAAAGTCTAACCTTTTGTAGTTTAGCCAAAATGTCCTTTTGATAAA